GAGATTGTGACCAGTCAGATGGAATAACGTCTAACTCCCAGAATTTAGCTAAAATATTAGTCAACCTAATCGCTAAAATTGGACCACCATCCTTAAAGACCTCTGGAGCCAATCCATCTGCACCAGCTACCTTTCCTCGTTTCAGATTAACTATAGCCTTCTCAACTTCTGCTAGAGTTAAGGGACTTAATTTAATGTTCCATTCACATTGTCTGGGAATGGAGGGTAGTTGTAGAGTAGCTGAAGGTCAGCTGAACTGTTCTCTGAAATGTTCCGCCCATCGTTCTAAACGTCTGGACTGAGAGCAGATAAGGGTATCGTCCTTTTCCGAAATAGTCTCACTTACACTTGACTTATTTATTCCAGTTTATTTTATTAGTCTGTAGAGCTGTCTTGTGTTCCCTATAGCCGCCACCTTTTCCATCTCTTTCGCTTTCGTTGCCCACCACTTTTCACGGCCGTTTCTTAGACTTTTGGTTAACCTAGATCTGACTTGTTTACGCTCTTCATCGTGTTCAGAACCTGATGGGATGAGTTTGCGAGAATCCATCAGTGCAATAGACCGTGAAGAAATCCATTGGTTCTTTGTAACCCTGTGGTTTAAAACACTGATAGCTGTCACTGCTGTTTCCACAGCTGCTTGTATATCTTTTCAAGCAACATCTGGGCCAGCCTCGTTTTCAGAACCAAATAAGTGTGACCTCAGTTGTTTCTAAAACCTACTTTTAGTTTTCTCGTTACTCGGTTCAATTCTAATGGGTCTTTTTAGTGTGGCTTTTTTGCGTCCAGTGAGGCGCAAGCAGATGCGTGCCCGTATTAGGGCATGGTCGGAGTCCAAACAGGTACTCCAGGATGAGCGACAATCTTGTACCGACCCTCTCCAACGATGACTGATGGCAATATGGTCTACTTGAGTTCATCGTTCGTTTGGTGTAGGGGGTCGCCATGTTAGACGATGCCTCTCCTTACGCCTAAAATTTGTGTTTGCTAGAAGAAAACGATTGTCTGTGGACAGTTGCAGCAGACGACCACCATTATCTGTTCGTTGTGCCGGAATACAAAAACACCCACCTAAATTCCTTTCTGTTTGGTTTAAACTACCTATCTGGGAATTAAAGTCACCTGCTACGAGTACTATGTCTGAATGTTTAGCTTTCTGAAGAAGTTCAGATAACTTTCTGTAAAATTCATCTTTCACTTCATCTGAGCTGCAGTCGGTGGGAGCGTAGGCAGAAACGACAAAAAGGCAAGGATGTGTGTCCCTATCCTTCCGAGTTCTTACGGAGCCGTTTAGCCGAACAGCACATAAACGACTGTTAATGAGGATCCACTCTAACAGAGCTTGTTCCGCCCTCATGCTTAGTGCTAGCCCTACTCCTGCCAGTCCACGAGCTGGCCGTCGGGTCACCAGATACACGGAGAGTGTATTTCGTTGGCTCTCCGTTTTGATGAGGTTAGGTCAAATGAATGACCACACTGAGATGCCGACCACAGACTGTCTCGACGTGCGATGTCCAATGGCATAGGAGTAGGCTGGAAGAAAGTTAGGGGCGGCCAGAACAAAACATGACACAAGTCCATGAAGTCACTGACAAGTGGACTGAGCCATATTGGCAGGTGTAGACTACCTGGTTGCGGACTGCGAGATGATAGCAACCGACGGTTAGAGACTGTAAATGACATGGCTCAAACTCGTTTGCAATGGCGCAGGTGCATCCACTCCTTGTGTTCTCCCAAATCCTCGTTGTCTTTTTCTTCCTTTTCTAAATTTATTTTGCTGGATTATACTCTTTAAATAACATCTTCAAACCCTAATCTTTCCGATTGCTGCTTATACTTTTACCGCCTCTACCACTACGAAATTCGAATCGAAAACTGTATCGCTGTGCTAATGTGGTGTGGCGACTCGACCTGATGTACGTACGTACGACGTTCTACGTTGTTACGGACTGACTGTAATAAAGTACATATCGTTTTAATTGTTTGGTCAATCAATAAATTTTGATTGATTGAGCTAATAGTTAATCAATAGTTTTGTGTGTATACAGTTCGCTAGATCAATAAATCAACTAAATTGATTAAGAAATATAATTAATCACTGAGTTATGTATAACTTTTTTTTCTAACAAGTACCGTTCATGCCTCATCCTTTTCATCTTAAATATTTGTCGCTCTTCGCTTGTGTCCGATTAATTTAATAAATAATTTGGTTGGCTTGAAAACCAAATGATTTTTCAGATAAATCAAGATAAAAGATTGTAAGTTCCAATCAGCTCACAGATTTCTTTTCAAGCAACTTATTCGACCTCGTTCTCAGGATTTACAGAATCGATATACTGAACAAGTTATACTTATGTACTGGTTGTTGCAATCCAGGATAAATGGTTTCCAGTTTCTAATAAACTCATAAATACATTTTTTGTCAATAAATCTGAAGATGTTGAGATATTTTCACATACTCTTTGCGACCCCTTATGTTTAAGACTCATCAAAAATACTTACAGTTAGCTATAGATAGTAATCTATGTGGAGGTAACACTGATATATATATATATATATATATATATATATATATATATATATATATATATATATATATATATATATATATATATATTACTGGCTAAAAAGGGCTTTAATTACATAGTTTCTAAATACATTTCACGACAGTCCTATGCATTTAAATCACTAATCTTTAGAGGTTCGGCATGATCGACATCAAATTTAAAATTAATCCATACTATCAAATTAATATTTATTCGGTTGACAAGCCTTGCAAAATAACCATCGCATTGTATTTCACATGACGCTGTAAGTTCCAAAGTTATTAAACATTGAAGCCATACAAAACAGGATTAAATATAATAGAGAAATGGTGTTAAAAATTTACCACATTAAACACACATGAAATAAATGATGCAATACGTAGCCAATAATTAGTACTATGATATAAATCTTCAAGGCTTTTAAATGTTGAAAATAGTTCAATATGCCACACAGTAATATTCATTGTATGCTACTTTATGCACTAATTTGTTTTGACACAGTTAACTGAGAGAATCAAAAATATGGCCAAGAAAAATTATCTATCAATTTTAAACAATCTTTGAAAACACGCAAAAGAAAAATGAGTTTTTGGTTTCAATAAGCGGTGAAGGTAACATCAAAAGCTTGTCAAGCAGTCATGTTTTGGAACAACGCTTTTGAAAGATGGCTTAACATAACAAATTGAATGTGCTGTAAAATGACATAGTATTTCAGTACTGTATTGCTCAACATCATAATGAATTAAATCAAAGTAAAAAGAGGACAGAAATGAACTAGAAGGAAATTAGTCGATTGAGAACAGGCAAATGTAGAAAGAAAAAGTGAAAATTATTAAGAGACATGAAATGTTATCAAGTGGTGTTGTGAAACGTAATAATATATCCGTAATGAGATGTCCATCGTACATTAGAGACTATGTTTTACAAACGTATATAAAAAGACAGTCCAAATATAAATGCTATATTTCGCTTATGATTAATGTGTCTTTGTTATAAGTGTACAGTTTATTCACAGTGACGGGATCAAAAACACATTGAGATAGATATTCCATTAACTATATAATGTCTAGCATGAATGCTATCCGTCAAGTTACGTGAATTCAAATATCCGGATGAGGTCTTTATTACTTTGCAAACATAGCAGATGTGCAGCAAGATAAATTAAGTGAACGAAACAACTTTAAAGATTATTAGTGATTCGAAGTGTAGACTAAAATACCAGTATAATTTATCACTAAGGTCTGCATAATGTTTGATGAAGAGGAAACAATAGAACATTACATAGATCAAATCTTTAGGAGTCATGGTGTTGTAATACATGAAAGATCTGTCAAAAGTAACAAACAAATGTTGGGAAAGTGGTTTAGTAGTTAGAGCGCTTGATTTCTAGTCATTACGGTCGGACACTTAATTATCATGATAAAATTCATTATGAACTTAAATATTGATTAAAATATGCTATTTAATGTTTATACCACTTAGTAACTAATAGACTTAATGACATACGTTTAAAATAATAACCAGCAACTGAGAGAAAACCAATTCTTACAACCAGGTAAGGTAAAACCATAACACAATACAAATTCACTGAGGGTACAACTTCAAAACTAAAATTCATTTAACTGGTTGGACTATCCACGTACAAAAATGCAGTTTGTTTTATTATTATAAAAGGAGTAGTATTATATAGTCTAATGAAAAACCAAATCTATGGATTCGATTGTACAAGATAATGTCAGCCGACAAACTATGTAGTTGCCCAAATCTAGAAGTAATTCCTTCGATTTGTTGGTAAGAACTAAGAGAAAAAGAATTCAAATGTTTTCCATACCTCCCTAATTAGCAGTCAAACGACAACAAATACAGTTTCATCAGTAGAGATGCAGTCTGTAGACGTAACAGAAGAATGATTTCCATAAAAACAGGAGTATATACTAAACAAGTCAAGGGTACCAATATTTCGTCAACGTTAGCAAAGAAGGATCTCACACCATTTAATGGAAGAGGTGATATGGCAAACAATGAATTAATCAACTGGAGTGCAGATGAGATACACTTTTTTCCATTATTCTGTGACATATAAACATGTTTTGAGAAGGGATGCTTAATTGTATGATGTTGGCAATATATGCTCACACAGTAGGTTATTAATTAAATGGTGTTAAATATTCCTCATTTGAAAACATACAAATATGACTAAGTGAATCGTATAAAAAGTGGCGAATTCATTTATCATTTCGATTTATTTTGGGAGTCAAGTAAATCCTTACTACTAGTCTTTTCTTGTCACCACGCATATTTGAGTTTCAGGCCTCAGTACAAAGCACTAACCAGTTAAGCGTTCCTGAGTAATATAAGTGTCAGACATAACATAACAGATTATCTCCAGCTATATAATGCATACAAAACATGCGCGTATCATAAACATGAGTCTCCTATTTCTTTGCTTTACAGATTTATGAAGAAGCACCTACAAGCAGAAAGTCCAGATCCTTCAGATGTCGAAGCAATGAAAGTAGAAATTTCAGAATTAAAACAAAAGGTAGAGATGTTAGAAAGTGAAAATGCTGAATTGAAACAAAGCATAAATCAACAATTAACACCAGGAATCGCAATAAGTGATGGCAATATTTAATGAATTGATGTTTAACAAAAAACACTTCAAACTGGTAATATTCTAACATAAAATGAATTTTAAGTTTTTTAACTGCAAAGGAATGTTAAATTGATAATGTTTTAGGCGTAAATATTGTTGGGTGTCGTATGAATGTAGGCAACAGTCAAGAAACCGAAAACATGAGTTTCTCTCCTACTGATACTAAAAATATAGCTATAAAAATCAATAAAACATAGTTGACACCGGTGTTATTTGATTTCTCACATTAAATTGTTTTACAAGATAAATAAGTTTTAGTTAGTGGCCAAGTGGGTAGATGACTAGCAAATGAATGCAACATGATCAATGATCAGTTCCGATAAGTTCAAAGTTTATCAGCCAACATCTTTTGTCGGTGATTGTTGGACAGACGAAACGTATGTCACAACCTTCTTGGTCAATGACTTTTACAACCTCGGTAACTGATTCACTATGTTCGCCTGCTAACCCAAGTTTAACATTAACACTACTCAGTTATAAATTTCGACACAACCACTTTTATTTATGAGATAATGAATATTTTCCATTTATCGACAAGTGTGAAACTGGTAAATAAACAATTTGAATGGTTCCCAACACGAATCGACATTGTGGTAATACTGGAAAACAAGAGAGTATTGATCACTAGTTTTAAGTGATCATCGTAATCAAATGAGTAATAGGAAATAATAATATTCTGAATTGACTGCTTATATGCAAGTTTCTAATTACTTAGAGAAAAAGATAAAACTTGAAGCAAAATGAGGTAGTCGTTCGAGTCTGATACTAACATACACACTTCCTATACACTACTTGAGTGAGAAAGCCAAGAATGAGCAGAAAACTTTTATCGGTTGACCCGAATTACGATTTATGCACAAAGTTATTCATTAATATAGATTTGAAACTGAGAAAGATAAGCCAGATTTTCAACTTATAGTGTATACTTATCTCACTCGGATCATTATGCCAAATCTTGAGCAATAACATGCACAAGTCAAAATCTCTGACTAATAAGTTAGCTTTGAATTGACATGTCTGATTGGCACACCCTATCACTTTGTTCTTTAACGTCTGCTGTTCACGAAAACAATGCCAGATTTGAAAGTACTTATCCAACTAGGGATGACCAGTGAGCCCCCTCGACGGAAAAACCAGGAAAGAGACGGATATATACAGTTAAAACAATTTACAATTCTTTTTGTAGCAATCAATTGTAATTTAAATATCATTATAAATGACCTGAATTAAACTGCACAGGAGAATATCATCATCATAGTCTCGGGATTATAAAACTATGCTAAAAGATAAGAAAAAATATGTTCTAGAAAACCTTTAGCAATTTTGTATTACAGTAAATCTTTGGATAAAGGGAAAATTTTGTGATTACAATGAATAAAGTATAACACACTATTTTGATAAAATCAAATAAAGAGGGAACAAAAACTAAAGTCTACTTTGTTTATTTTAGAAAAGGTGGATTAATGCGTGTGTACACTGTTTATTTGTTTACGTGATTTATCGCGAATAGACGTGTGTTCAGATTTAACAAAAGGTTAAAATAAGTGGGTAGTTAAATTTACTTTTGTTGTGACAACATCTGAAAGTGTTTTGAATAAAAATTCATAATTAAAACCAATATACTTTTATATAGTCAAATTATGTAACATGTTAAATTCTAAAATTGAAGTGACTAAAAATTAAACAATTCAATAAAATCTGAACAAAATTAATGATAACTAATTGTAACACCAATAGAATTGATTTTAGCTGGATGATTAGCGAGTGCTTTTGAAGAGAAAGGGAGGAATAAAAGAGGAGAACTATGAAACTTACTTGTTATACATATTATAATTTAAATAGATGCTTATACTATCGGTGAAAAATACGGAGAAGATTTTGGGTTAACTAAATGTCCACAGATAAGAGAATGAATGAAGTAGTCACAAGTAACCATTTCAATAGGTAATGTTTTCATAAACGCGAACGCAGACTGATTGATCTGTAAAAAAATTTATGATGAATAATATGTGAAAAACAAGAAATGAACTTTTAAGTAGAGGTGAATGGTAGCTAGCAGTGGAATGCAGAAAGCGCGTTTCGTTCTAGAATGACCCGGTAGTTACATGTATAACGCGATAACATTCAGAGTAACGGTACTGGGTTCGAGTCCCGTGATCGAAAGTCAACTCCGGGAAGACGAGTCACAAATATGGCGGAACGCGCATCCTAGAATTCAGTGCAAACTAGCATTTTATGTCTCCTTAACCTATTGGTAATATCGAAGGAATCCGCACAGGATGGACATATGACAGAAAAACTGATCGATTGCAATCCTAAACATTGATGGAAAGATTCGAACCACCAATACACATAAAATAAGAAATGAGCGTTTTGTAATCAATAAATTCCCAATTGTCTTCAAATTGCGAGAAAGTAATGTGGTGTATGCTACTTATGTCGACTTAAGTAGTGTATCATACCACACAAAAGTAGAATGCCTGGCAGAAGAGGATCAAGAAGACGGAATCGAAGAGAACGGGAACAGTAAGTAATTGTAATAGTAATGAAGAAATGACGAAGTTTGAGACAATTTATAGAGGACTTGCAAATGAATTATAGAATGCATGGTTCTCATATTTTACGAAAGAATTTTGTATTAAAGAATAAATTGGTTGTCCCCACATATGTTCTCGTTCATTACAGTATGACACTCGAACTTATGAATGAAATTTTTGGAAAGGTCAAACAACGGTTGTTTGTACGAAAAGATAATCTGCAGCTGACGATAATGGAACGATTTTTTTAAAAGAACCAATATAGCATTATGTTGATTTAGCGAACACAAACAATCAACTAGAGTGATAGTAAATAGTTGTTAAAAACCTCCTGAAGTTTAAATCCCATTACTTCGGCGGCCAAAATAACTTCTAAAAAGACAGTTATTCGTATGTAAGTTCTGCTGTCAGTGTTACAATCATGGTGTAAAAGTTGGAGTCACTCATGCTGGTTTTATGTAATTATTGAAGAGGGTTCACATAAAACTAGGCTAATTTGGGATAAAATATACTTCAAGCTCATTTCGATTGTCAATCTGTCGACCAATTTTCCCTCATCTTCCCAATTTATAGTCGGCATCCAGAAATTTAGTTAGATGCATTATGCACCTGCTATGTAAAAGCATCAGAATGGTATCACTTTGTACAGTTTATATTTGGGAGTACAAAAGTAATCTCTAGATTATCTAAGAATACCTGAGGAAGGCTCAAAATATTACATAACTTTACTTGTAGTGATGGTTATTGAAAAAATCAATGCAACTACTTACTTAAAGCGAACCATTCGTGTAATGTGTGAAATTATAGTATACATTTTACGCTATTGTCTTATGTTTCGATGAGAAACAAAAAAAAACATCGCACTAGTTTAAGTATTTACCAAAATATATGGAGGACTAGTTGTTAAGGAAATCAGCTTTTAACCAGTAGGTCACCTCAGATGTGGATCCCGCCAAACGTACTTCAGTTTAATCAGCTATATAGGATTACTAGTTCTCAAGTGAAGCGTGACTCAAAGGCGAATATAAAAATTTGTTTTTAGTAAGTGAAATACATCGTGATTTATCAAAATTATCACTAGTGAAAGCATTCGAGTAGTTATATATTTTACTGAAATATATATACCAAATAAAAATAGTGAGGAGAACAAAGTTGAAAAAATGTTAACAAATAAATTTATTTTCAGAACTTACGTGGTTCTTGTCTACTAGGACAAAATTCACTTTTTTTTCACTTGCTTTAGATCTACATCTTACAGATGGAAATAAATCAGATAGTTTTTGAGATATTTCAGATAAATGTATTAAAGGAATTCGATTAGATGAATTACCCAACTCATCAAATTCATTATTGGAACCACAAGCTAGAGATAAAATATTCAACCAACCAGGTCCAAACACCTTAAGATCGTTAGTTACTATAGCTACTAAACGATAATTAGTTCCACAATCCGCCCAATCTCCAAGATGGTCAAACAATGATGGTGAAGGAATTGTTTGATAAGCTGGTGAACGATATCGTACAGGCACAGACCACCTGGAATGTATGTAGAAATATAATGAAAGTTGGAAGGGAAACACAAGAGTGTTCTCCTGGGTTAAAATAAAATTATCACTACAATGAGTTAGATGGATATGGTTATTTACTTAAACATAATCTTTCTCACTGAACAAAGTTGTCAACTTAATACATATAAACAGAAATTTAAAAGTCCAGTTAAAAAAAACCCAACGGAAGGCATGTGAACGAGGCGAATAGATAATGTTGTGATACCTTTACCAAAACCTGAGTAGCTAAAGTATGGTAAACACACGTTACACACTGATTGAAAGAAAAATCACTAAATTAATAAACTAGATTTACCAGTCTCATGATAGATATTATTCTGTTTCCAAAATTACAAGTGATTTTTTTAAGTGGAACGTCACATAAATGTAAATTACTTTGAATTTACTTTAACAAGAAAAATAGAAAGTGGAAGTTACCTCTTGTATACCAAAAACAAATGTAGTTTATAAGAGCTAAGTAACTAAAATTTAGATCAAATAACTGAAGAATAAGCATAAGAAATTGTATAGCAATGCTTAAATTCCACTGTGTGTAAATTTAAACCGCTGACATGTGCCATGTACTCGGTTTTTGTTGGGTAGATGACATAAACTAGTATTTGTGTCAAGAAACAAAAGGATCATCAAAAAACGATTCCTGGATTGAAGTTGTCAGGGCCCTCTCTCTAACGTAAGTGAATCGGTAAGTTGTTATTACAGATAGTGAAATCAGTCAATGTACTGAATCTACTGCATATCGTATTTAAAAATAAAAAATAAGTGGAAGTTAGCTTACCAACTAACTGGTTCAGAAGATCCTGATATAAATCCCCGAGGTAATTCATAACGACCAGGATATGTACGTAACAAGTATAAAGGCCAATTACGAGTTTCTTCAAAAGACGATTGATTGTTGTACGTTTTAGCATCTTCACGACATGAATCCAACAACCAATCAATACGTAGTAATGGAACACTGCCTAACGTAGCAAGTGCTTGGAAATATTTTAATGTGCGACAACAATCTGTTGAAACTAAAGCTACAAAATGTGCACATTGACTTTTCTTTTGATGGAAACTATCATCTAGTTCAGGACTTTCCCAACCATATCTTCTATTCAAT